GCCTGTTGTCCCCTGGGTTAATAGCCCCTCTGCATTGCATTTTCAGGACAGTGGGGCCTCCCCACCGTCAGCCTGGCTGGGGTGTTCGGGATCATCGCCGGGGTGATCTCCTCCATGGTGGAGTCAGTGGGTGATTACTACGCCTGCGCCCGGCTGGTGGGGGCCCCGCCCCCTCCGAAGCATGCCATCAACCGCGGCATCGGCATTGAGGGCCTGGGCTGCCTGCTGGCGGGGGCCTGGGGGACAGGGAACGGCACCACCTCCTACAGCGAGAATGTCGGGGCGCTGGGTATTACCAGGGTAAGTAAGATTGCCGATGGTGGCCCCTGGGTACTTGACTGTATCACTCAATGTGTTAGTCTCCTATTTCTGCTGTAACAAATGAGCACAAACTTAGTGGCTTCAAACAATCAAATGTATTATTTTACTGATCTGGAGGTCAGAAATCTGACACAGGTATCACGGGGCTGAAGTGAAGATGTCAGCAGGGCTGTGCCACTCCCTGGAGGGTCCAGAGGAGACTCCATCTCCTTGCTTTCTCCGTCACCTAGAGGCTGCCCACGGTCCTTGGCTGTGGCACTGGTCCACCATCTTCAAAGCCAGCAATATCCCATCTCTGACCTTCCTTCTCTTGTCACATCTCCCTGTGACCACAGCCAGGGAGGGTCCCCTGCTTATAAGCGTTCATGTAATTAGACTGGGTCCTTCTCAATAATTCAGGAGGTTCTCTCCATTTCAAAATCCTCCACTTAATCAGATCTGCAAAATCCATTTCAAAATCCTCCACTTAATCAGATCCCTTTTGCCATGCAAAGTAACATGTTCACAGTTTAGGAGATGAGGATGTGACCTCTTTGAGGGGCCACCATTCTGCTCACCAGACTTGCTCTTCTTGGTCGTGGCGACTCCCTGGGCAGAGAGTCTATCAAGGCTTTGTGAGCACTGAAGAAATTCCTTGCTTTCTCAAGTTTCGATAGGAGGTCCCTTACCTGTGGCCCAGCCCTGTGTCAGACCTCCAAACCTGAATATTCAACTGCCACCTGGTCATACCCTTGTCCTTTCCCAGATCCCATATGGGAGCAGAGTGGGGTCTTTGGGGATCAGGCAGTGCTGCTCCTGTGAGTCCCCTGGAGTGTTGTTTGAGGTGCCCTGGCAGTAGGGCAGAGGCCTCTGGGGCGTGTGGCGTGACTGGCGCTGAGCTCCTTGTCCCCCATCTCCCTGAGTGCCGCAGGTGGGGAGCAGGATGGTGATCGTCGCCGCGGGCTGCGTGCTGCTCCTGATGGGCGTCTTTGGGAAGATAGGGGCTGCGTTTGCCACCATCCCAACCCCCGTGATCGGAGGCATGTTCCTGGTGATGTTCGGGGTCATCACCGCCGTAGGGATTTCCAATCTGCAGGTGAGCCAGGAGCCCGTGGGAAAGCAGCAGCAGTGCGTGTCCTGCAGGGAGCCCTTGGGGATTGAGATGAATGGAACAGGGCTGGGGCCGGCGGGGAGAAGGGGATCCTTGGTCTCAGAAACCAAGCTGGCCCCCAATGGAAGAAAGAAATAGCTAGCAGCATCCAAACTTCTAAATAGCAAAGCGTAGCAGTTGGACTTGGATTATCCAAACCACTCAGCTCCCAAGGTCAAGTGGGAATCAGGACTCGGCTTGTCCACTGAGAGCGTACGTTGCTCTGAGTCCAGCCTTCCCACAAACCTCTGGTGGCGGTGGAAGAGGAGGGACATTTGGAGGGGCACCGGATGGGTGCGCAGCGAAGGCGCTGACCGCTCCGGGCCGCTGTGCGGGCCTCTCTCCCGCAGTACGTGGACATGAACTCATCCAGGAACATCTTTGTCTTCGGCTTCTCCATCTACTGTGGGCTCGCCATCCCCAACTGGGTGAACAAGAACCCCGAAAGGCTCCAGACAGGTGAGTTCCCACCCTCTACGCTGTGACGATTCCAGAGGCAAAGCCAGCGGGGGCCGTTGGTCCCTGGGCATCCCTGTCACTTTTGTCTTTACTCTAGGGATTCTCCAGCTGGACCAGATCATCCAGGTGCTGCTGACCACGGGCATGTTTGTCGGTGGATTTCTGGGCTTTCTACTGGACAACACCATCCCCGGTAGGGCTCACCTTCTCTCTATAAGCTAGCAGTTTAGGGAGATGGTCAGCATTTGGGACACCAGCCCCGAATACCACGTCGGACTGCCCACGGCCTACCCTGAGCGGGCCCTGGGGCAGGATGGATATACCAGCTTGTGTTAGCTTGCTGGGGCTGCCGTCACAAAATACCATAGACTGGGGGAGAGGATGGTGCTTAAACAACCAAAACATATTTTCGCACAGTCTGGAGGCTGGAAGACCTAGATCAAGATGTCGACAGGGTCAGTTTCTCCTGAGGCCTCTCTCCTAGGCTTGCAGATGGCCACCTTCTTGCCGTGTCCTCACCTGCCCCTTCCTGTGCGTGAGTGCACCTCTGATGTCTCTACGTGTCCTAGTCTCCTCTTCTTATGAGGATATCAGTCCTATTGGACCAAGGCCCACCCTAAAGCTCTCATCTTTAACTTAGTCACCTCTTTAAAGGCCCTATCTCCAAGTACAGTCACAGTCTGAGGTATGGGGAGTTAGGGCTTTAACATATTTTTCAGGGGGACACAGTGGAGCTCATAACAGGGCCTCAGGTGAGAAATACATAAGAAGCAAAAAGAAAAAGACATAGCCCCAGCTGTCTTAGGACCTCACGTTTAGTTGGTGAGAAAAAGAACACATATATTCATTCATTCATTCATTTTGATAAAAACCCATTGAGCACTTGCTGTGTTCCAGATGCTATTGTACTGAGAATACAAAGAGCAGAAAGACATGCCCCCCGCCTTCCAAATCCTACAGGCTAATATGGAAGACAAGAACAAAATTACAAACGATACAATTATAGTTAAGTGCGATGATGAGCAAAGCGAGTCTCTGAGTGCTGAAGACGGTGACGGTGGGGTGCAGAGCTGCAGTCACTGCTGGCTTTCAGTGCTCCCTTCTTGACCCTCCCACAGCCCCTGGAAAGGATCTCTATGATAGGGCCTGCTTCATGGTATTGTTTTCCGCGTTTCTTCTCTCCACCGAGTGTGAAATGCGTCTGCACGCCAGAAACATTAGCTGTAGAAAAGCGCGCCCCCTGGAGGTGAGGACAGGACAGTGTCCATTAAGGTCCTGCCCCGGGACTCTGCGCGGTGTCCGCTGTGGCCTGAGCTCGGGGATGCCGGATGAGCCGAGACGAGCTGAGCTGTGATTCTGGAGATGAGCCTGGAGGAGGAAGCGAGGGTTCTGTTGGCAGGTGCCCACAAAGGCACCAGAGGCCCCCTCCGGCCCATGCCGGCCTCGCTCCATCAGGGCCCAGTCCTGACCGCTCATTGTCTCCTATCAGGCAGTCTGGAGGAGAGAGGCCTCCTGGCGTGGATTCAGATCCAGGAGTCTGAAGAGTTGACGAAGGCCTTGGAGGTCTACGGCCTCCCCTGCGGGATCGGCACCAAGTTCGGCACCAAGTCCTCCTGCGTCCAGTGGCTCCCCTTCTGGCCCAGACTGGAGCACGATGGGAAAGGAGCAGCGGGAGTGAGCCAGCTGTCACTCTGCCCCCAGGATTCCTCAGGAGAGCACCAAAAAGGTGCCGCAGAAACCAGGATGTGAGGCGACATCACCTCACGCACGCCCCCAGGCCGTCTCCACAGCCCCCAGCCCCATGCACGTCCTCCTGCGTCCAGTGGCTCCCCTTCTGGCCCAGACTGGAGCACGATGGGAAAGGAGCCGCGGGAGTGAGCCAGCTGTCACTCTGCCCCCAGGATTCCTCAGGAGAGCACCAAAAAGGTGCCGCAGAAACCAGGATGTGAGGCGACATCACCTCACGCACGCCCCCAGGCCGTCTCCACAGCCCCCAGCCCCAGAACATGCTGACCTCCCCACTCACATGGGGCGGGGTGCCCCAACCTTCCTGAGCACCCCTGGCACCCCGCACACAATAGCAGCCAAATAAGGGACGATGACCACGACAAGCGTGCTTTGACCTGGTCACTTAGTGACCGAGGACTGGCCTCAAGCTGCATCCTTCCGCTGGCCTCCAGCTGTCCCATCTCCAGTGTAAAGGAGTGTCACCTAATGTCCACACAGAGACTCCTTTAGTTCACATGCTATGGGCAGTATTTTGATGCCTTGGGAGCAAGAGGCCTGGGGTGGGGAGGGGGACAGAGATGGCGCTGTCGGCTGAAAGAACAGGTCTCTTCCTCCTCCAAGAGGCAGGTGGCTGGGCCAGCCCCTCCAGGCCCTTCCTCTTTGTGCCCCTGCCATTTATACACAGTGAAGTGGCAAAGCTGCAAGCCTTGCACACCCCCGGTGGGTGTCCATGGGGTCGGCTCCTGCATCCCGGGACTCCGTGAGTGGTGTGGTCTGGACTGTGGCGTAAAGAGCCAGGCAAACCCATTCTCTCTACATACTCAGTGGATTAGTCAGGGTTCTCCAAAGAAACAGAGCCAATAGGATGTGTGTGTGTACACACACACACACACACACACACACA